AAAAAACAGAACTACTGATAAGCGTCCAACAAAGATCAGAAGGCAAAGGGCAAACAGAATTACTGATAAGGGTCTATGTTTAGCAGTGCACGTATTGTCTTTATAAACATCTTAAACAACAGAAAACAGGGTTCGAGAGCAGAGAATCGGTCTGACCACAAATTTACCAGGGCAGAATTTTTCTCCACCCTAATAAGCCTGAGGGTACTGCAGGAGGCCAGGGTGTATCTCAGTCCTTATCTCAACCGCATAAGATAGACATTCCCGGAGCAGACATTTATACATCTCCCCCCAGGAATGCATTCCTTTCCCAGGGTATTAATATTCCTTGATAGGAAAATAATTTAGCGATATCTTCCCTACTTACACATCCCTTTATAGGCTCTCTGCAAGAAGAAAAATATGGCTCTTTTTGCCTTACCCCTCAGGTAGTCAGACATTATGGTTGTCTTCCCTTGTTCCCTAAAAATCACTGTTATTCTGTTCTTTTTAAGGTGCACTGATTTCATATTGTTCAAACACATGTTTTACAATCAATTTGTACAGTTAACACAATTATCACAGTGGTCCTGAGGTGATGTACATCCTCAACTTACAAAGATAACAGGATTAAGAGATTAAAGTAAGACACGCATTAAGGAAGGAGATCACTGCTACTCCTGCTGCCCTCCTCCCCCCAACCTTGCCTAGTTCACAAGACAGGAGGAAAGAAAGAAAGAAACAAAAATAAGATAAATAGCCAGACAACCTTGGCACCACCACTCGGCCCTAGGAGTTAAAATAAAAGTAGTAATAATAACATCAACCCCTGACCTAAACTACTTGTGTTGTCTGTAAATTCCAGACACTATGAAAAAAAGCATTGTAAAACTTTATGTTCTGTTAGCTGATGCATGTAGCCCCCAGTCACGTTTCCCACATTTGCTGGATTTATCACAACCCTTTCATGTGGACCCCTTAAAGTTGTAAGCCTTTAAAAAGGCCAAGTATTTCTTTTTTGGAGAGCTCGGCTCTTAAGACGTGAGTCTGCCGACACTCCCGGACGAATAAAAAACCTCTTCCTTCTTTATCTGGTGTCTCAGGAGCTTTGTTTGTGGCTCATCCTGCTACATTTCTGGTTCCCTGACCGGGAATCGAGGTGATTAATGGATGGTCGAGGCAGCCCCTTAGGCAGCTTATGCCTGCCCTGTAGAGCATCCCTGCGGAGGACTCTGACCAGCTTGAGTGATGCGGATCCTGAGAGTGCTCCCGGGTAGGCATTTGCCCCCGTGGGACGCCTCCTCAGAGCAGTGCACAGCAGGCCCCCATAGAGGATCCACACAGTGGCTGAACACCGGAAAGGAGCTGGCACTTTAAGTCCGGACATCTAAAACTTGGTAAGACTGGTCTTTGGAACTTGCCCACTCCATTTGAGTGGAAGCGTGGCCTGATCACCCATGGGATGCCTCTACCAGCACTTTGGTTCTTGTTTTTGACTTGACGTGAATTAATTGCTTGATGCTTTGGTTTTAGTGTTGATTTTGACTTGACTTGAATTGCTTGATAAACAGGCGTGCCTTTATTGGCACTTTGGTTTTGGTTCTGATTTTGACTTGGTTTAAATTGCTTGACAAACAGGGGTGCCTTTAACGACACTTTGGTTTTAGCTTTGATTTTGATTTAGTGTGAATTAGATGAGTGAGTGACCTTTTACCCTTTCCTTTTTGTAGCATGAATGTTGTTTTGTCTCGAGAGAAAAATAGGTCGGACACAAAGTAAGGCCACGCCACTAGGAACTGTGTTAAAAAAAAAATCAAGAAAAGAAAAATAAAAGGAAAGTCATCAAATCACCAAAACTTACTCTATTAAAACGCATGTTACAGAACCTTAAGAAAGGTTTTGCAGGAGATTATAGAGTTAAGTTAACTCCCTAGGGGTTAAAAACTGTGTGAATTAGAATTGCCCTCTGTTGGTGTTGGATGGCCCACCGAAGGAACTATAGACAGACAACAATTGGCCATGTATTTAAGGTGGTGACAGGGGTCGGAGGACAGCTGGTGTACCTAGATCAAATTCCTTTATAGTGACTCATGGTTAAATACAATATAGACAAAATCAGCATAAATTTAGCCCTGTTTAACAGCTTATTGCAAAAAAGCCAAAAGTAAAAGTAAGAGCAGCTTCACCAGCAGACACAGAGTTAAACAAGGAGTCCCACAAACAGCAAGAGAAGCCAGTTTTGCAGAAACCGCCAGAGATAATATAAATTATTTCTCCATATGTCCCAGCCTACCCTGCTTTACCGAGGCCAACAGCCCCCTCAGAAACTAGATTCAGGAGCTAACATGCCCCAGGTCTCACCTCGAAGGGGAGGATCGGAGCCTTGAGAAGCCAAGGAAGGAAGTCAAGACAGTCAAGTGGCCGTCTCAGATCTGGTCTTGTTCGAGCTATGCAAATGCCTCTCAGGGAGACACGAGGACCTGTCTATTATAATGACCAGGCCCACATCCGGAGGGGCAACAGACTTTCATCTATCAGCCCTTTTCAACCATTGAGCTACTAAACTGGAAACACCTTGAACCCGCCACCTTGCTCCCGGCAGCTAGAGTCCTGTAGAGCATGACTGTGTAGAGGTGTTGGACTCAAGTTTACTCTAGCAGACCTGACCTCTGGGACCAGCCTTGGGCATCAGTAGACTAGGAGCTATACGTGGGTGGGAGCAGCTTCATCAACCCACAAGGAGAGAGATGTGCAGAGTATGCGGTGGTAACCCTGGACACTGTTGTTAAGCTGAGCTCATTGCTTTAATTCGGGCCTTAGAACTCAGTGAAGGTAAGACTGTAAACATTTACGCTGACTCTCGCTATGCCTGTTTAACCCTCCAAGTGCATAAAAAATTATATAAAGAAAAGAGCCTGTTAAACTCTAGGAAAAAGGGAAAAAAAGACCCAGAGAATACAACTCAGCTTCAGCGTTTGCAGAGGTACCGAGAAGCACTTCTACAGAGGCTAAGAGTTGGTAGAAAAAAGCAAGTATATAAAAAAAGATTTCAGGAATGCTTCAAGGAGCTGACAAGAGCCTGAGTCAGTTTTATAAGAGACTCTATAAAGCATTCTGGCTTTACACCCCATTTAACCCTGAGGCTGCTGAAAATCAGTATATAGTAAATACTTCATTTGTAAAGCAAGCCCAGGGTAACATCAAGCAGAAGCTGCACAAATACCACCTAGTCTAGAAAAGTGGCCACCAAGGTGTGTGTTAACTGTGACCAAGGAACAAAACTGCGAAAGAGCAAAAGAAAAGGGAAGACTAAGAGTAAGTGTAAAAAAGAAAAATTAGCAATGTGAGAGGACGTGGACGTGGATGTAGATATGAAAGAAGTCAAGTTAGGCAAGGATTCAAGAGCCGGACAAGGCTAGAGAGAGATTAATGTGCAAGATGCAAAAAGACAGGACACTAGAAAGGTAAATGTTCAAAAGGCAATAAAGGAAATGGCCAAGGCTGCAAGACAAAGAGGCCATCGGCCAAGGGCTACCGCACCTTGGAGGAACCAAATACCGATTTGATCAGACTGGCAGGAGCTGAAGAATGTAAAGACTGGGGAGACCCGGCACCTTCTCATGAGGCTCCCAGGAGCCCGTGGTCACATTAGAAGTTAAAAGCAGCAAGATTCTGCCGTATCTGCATTCCAATTTCTCACTGAAGGCTGAGCCACTAAATAGAGTTACAAAAGGGGGCGGGGGGAGAAGAACCCCTCCTCTAAGAAACTGAAACAGGGCCGGGCGCGGTGGCTCACGCCTGTAATCCCAGCACTTTGGGAGGCCGAGGCAGGCGGATCACGAGGTCAGGAGATCGAGACCATCCTGGCTAACACGGTGAAACCCCGTCTCTACTAAAAATACAAAAAATTAGCCGGGCGAGGTGGCGGGCACCTGTAGTCCCAGCTACTCAGGAGGCTGAGGCAGGAGAATGGTGTGAACCTGGGAGGTGGAGCTTGCAGTTAGCTGAGATTGCGTCTCTGCACTCCAGCCTGGGTGACAGAGAGGCTCCGTCTCAAAAAAAAAAAAAAAAAAAAAAAACAACTTCTGTTATTAAAAAATACTATGTTACTCGCAAATAAAAAGCTTTTAAGACCCAGTAAAAAACTAACCTGCTTAGGACATGACAAAGTTGATACACGTGTCTGTACAGGTTTAACACAGGTTTGATCCTAGGTCTTTATTTAGAAAATAGTTTCCAGCTATAAGAAAATTTAAAACCTTCACTGTAAGTGTATTACTAGTAATAGAAACTTGCTTGCTGCTAGCTGGGCACGGTGGCTCACCCCTGTAATCCCTGCACTTTGGGAGGTCGAGGCGGGTGGATCATGAGGTCAGGAGATGGAGACCATCCTGGCTAACACGGTGAAACCCCGTCTCTACTAAAATACAAAAAAATTAGCCGGGCGCGATGGCGGGCGCCTGTAGTCCCAGCTACTCGGGAGGCTGAGGCAGGAGAATGGCACGAACCCGGGAGGCGGAGCTTGCAGTGAGCCGAGATCTGGCCACTGCACTCCAGCCTGGGCAACCGAGTGAAGACTCCGCCTCAAAAAAAAAAAAAAAAAAAGAAAGATCAAAGACTTTAAGACTTTCACTATTTCTTCCACTACTATCTACTACGAACTTCAAAGAGGAACCAGGAGTACGGGAGGAACACGAAAGTGGACAAGAAACTTGACCATTAAAGCACAACACCACAAGGAGGGGTTTAGGCCTCCAGATGACTGCAGGCGATCCTGGATAATATCCAGCCCCCCACAAGAAGCTGGTGGAGCAGAGTGTTCCCTGACTCCTCCAAGGAAAGGAGACTCCCTTTCGCGGTCTGTTAAGTAACGGGTGTCTTCCCAGACACTGGCATTACCGCTTGACCAAGGAGCCCTTAAGCGGCCCTTATGCGGGCGTGACAGAGTGCTCACCTCTTGTCTTCTAGGTCACTTCTCACATTGTCCCTAGGTTATATTAGTAATGCAACAAAGAGTAATATTAAAAGCCAATGATTAATGTTTATACTAATGATTGATAATATCCATGATCATTTTTATATCCAATTTGTATTATGACTATTTTCATTTTAACTATTTTCTTTATTATACTGAAACAGTTTGCATCTTCAGTCTCTTGCCTTGGCACCTAGGTAATCCTTCGCCCATAGATGAAAGTGGAGTTCTGCTGACATTGGTGTCTTCTCCAGACGTACTTGGTGGTCCAAATTCTTTCCCTTGGCTTTACAAGTGAGCCAGCGGTGTCCTGCTGTCAAGCCTGAGAAATGATGGGCACAGGCCACACATTTTAGGACATGCGAGTGTTTTCAGAAACAAAACAAGAAATGTTAGCCCTGAATTCTCCATTTCACGTGTTCTTTCTGATATTAACCACACGTTCTTTCTAACATTAACCACCACATCGTCTTTTGGCAATAATCTTGGCAGGGGAAAATACGCTAGCCAGGATCCACTAAATCGATTTCAAGCACAGAGGATGGGTCACACCAGGCAGTTCAAAAGACCCGTCCCTGGGCTGGGCACCGTGGCTCACGCCTGTAATCCCAGCACTTTGGGAGGCCGAGACGGGCGGATCACGAGGTCAGGAGTTCGAGACCATCCTGGCTGACAAGGTGAAACCCCGTCTCTACTAAAAACTAGCCGGGAGAGGTGGCGGGCGCCTGTAGTTCCAGCTACCCCGGAGGCTGAGGCAGGAGAACGGCGTAAACCCGGGAGGCGGAACTTGCAGTGAGCCGAGATCGCGCCACCGCACTCCAGCCTGGGCGACAGAGCGAGACTCCATCTCAAAAAAAAAAGAAAAAAAAAAGACCCGTCCCTGCGGCAGCGGAGACCCCGCCCCTCTCCCGTGCGCCCACTCCTCTCAGTCAATCACCGCAGCGGGGAGCAGCTATTTGAATGTCCCCGCCCCCTATCTGAAGGCCGCCCTGCCATTGGCCCCGCCCCGCCCCGCCCACCGTGGCCAGACCTTCACGTCCCGCGGCCCCAGTACGCAGGGCGGAGACTGTGCCGACATGGAGTTGGGTCTCGCGGGCCGCCGGGTGCTGGTCACCGGGGCGGGCAAAGGTGGGCGGCGGGGAAAGGTCGGTAAAGGCCGGCGGAGGGCAGAGGCGGGCAGGGGATGCCCTCACTGAGCCGCGCTCCCGGCAGGTATCGGGCGCGGCACGGTCCAGGCGCTGCACGCGGCGGGCGCGCGGGTGGTGGCTGTGAGCCGAACACAGGCGGATCTTGACAGCCTCGTCCGCGAGGTAGGCCCCGCCGGGTCCCAGGGCTGCGAGGCGGCGAGGCGGCGAGCCAGGAGGGGGCGCCAGCCAGCGGGGGCGGTGTCCCGTGCGCGACTTCGCCTCCCCTCGCGGGCGCTGCGCTTCTCACCGCGGCCTGGGCGCCCTCGCACCGTCTTCCGGGGCTGGTGGCCTGCGTGGGCGGTCGGGTGGCCGGCAGAGCTGCCAGGGCCCCCGGGCTCAGAAAGAGGCCGAAATGGCTGCGGAGCAGGCCCCGGGCAGGAGTCACTCGGGCGCAGGGAGGAAGTGAACCGGCCGGAGGCAGCGCCTGGCTGCTGGCCCCACAGTCCTGACACCTCTGGAACTCCTAACTCCTTTCCTTGTCCGGCTGAAAGGTCACCAGCCCCAGTCCCCAGCTGTGCCGCTTGCTGGGCACAGAGCCTCTGGTAACTGCCCCCTGATACACACAGTGCCCGGGGATAGAGCCCGTGTGCGTGGACCTGGGTGACTGGGAGGCCACCGAGCGGGCGCTGGGCAGCGTGGGCCCCGTGGACCTGCTGGTGAACAACGCCGCTGTCGCCCTGCTGCAGCCCTTCCTGGAGGTCACCAAGGATGCCTTTGACAGGTGAGCCTGTGAGGGCGGAAAAACCTCAGGGAGGGGCTGTCCCGGAGGAGGCAGCAGCCCTAATCTCTGACCAGGGTCTGTCCTTCGGCCTCTAGATCCTTTGAAGTGAACCTGCGTGCGGTCATCCAGGTGTCACAGGTGAGCTGCCCTGCGGGCTGGACGGGAATTCTGATGAGTGGTGCCAGCTCTGCCTCACGGTCTCGCTGCAATTTCAGATCGTGGCCAGGGGCTTAATAGCCCGGGGAGCCCCGGGGGCCATCGTGAATATCTCCAGCCAGTGCTCCCAGCGGGCAGTAACTAACCATAGCGTCTACTGTGAGTACCCCAGCTGTGCCCTCAGCCCCACCCCCACCCCAGCCTCACCCGCATCACCAACCCCAGCCACAGCCAGCTTGGGTTCCTCTTCACAGGCTCCACCAAGGGTGCCCTGGACATGTTGACCAAGGTGATGGCCCTAGAGCTCGGGCCCCACAAGGTGAGCAGGGCTGGGGTACCTCCCCCAACCTAGAGCACCCCACTCGCCCTGCTGACCCCAGCTGTCCCGGTGTAGATCCGAGTGAATGCAGTAAACCCCACAGTGGTGATGACGCACATGGGCCAGGCCAACTGGAGTGACCCCTGCAAGGCCAAGCCTATGCTGGACCGAATCCCACTTGGCAAGTTTGCTGGTGAGTCAGGTGGGAGATCAGCCAGCGTGGTGCCAGCAGCCCCTGTGCGTGCCCTGGGCAGGGGTGGGAGGGAAAGATGGGCAACAGCCTCCTTCATCTATGCCCCTGACCCCCGCCCTGCCCACAGAGGTAGAGCATGTGGTGGATGCCATCCTCTTTCTGCTGAGTGACCGAAGCGGCATGACCACGGGCTCCACTCTGCCGGTGGAAGGGGGCTTCTGGGCCAACTGAGCTCCCTCCACATACCTCAAACCCCATGCCGTGCCATCCTACCCCCAATCCCTCCAATAAACCTGATTCTGCTGCCCAGGCTATGTGCTATTCCTAGGCTGCCAGCAGGTAGCTGGGGGCTTGGGGCCTGGTATGGAATGTGGGCAGAGACCCATGAGATTCATATTCCAATCCAAGGTGGAGCCTGGCTCCCACTCCTGAGGTCTTCAGGCTTGGCCAGTTTGTTGTCAGGGAGGTAGGAGGTGGTGAAAGGCCAGCTCCTAAAGAAGGTGGTGAATTTCAGCAAGGTTGGCCTTTGGACCTGTCCAGAACCTCTGGGGTGAGACAGTGTGTGCATGTAAGTGTTGATCACCCGCTCTGTGAGTGTACGGTTGGCTCCTCTTCCTTTAAGCTAATGAGTAAGACAAAAGGGAAACAAGGAGGATGTCAAGGTTCTCCACTTCATCAGTGACCTGAGCCACTTTGTTGAATCAGATGGTTTTTGGATACTAGAAGAGCATTTCCTCAACTTGTGCTGTTCACAATGTAATGAGCAGACACAGCACCCTGAAGTCTAATCTACATTTTAATCATCTTAAGTCTAGACAAGTAACTGTAAATCAAGTCCCAATGTGAAGAATTTGCCAGTTCCCATGGTGTAAATACTCCCACCACAGCTGATTTCAAGCTACCAGTTAGATGTCATTGAATGTGGAGCTGGAAGAGATGCCCTCAGCACCCCGTTATGTGGTGTCTGTGTCCATAGGTCCCGCAGATGTACATAACCCAGGGGCAGAGAAAACAGTCATGTGTGCAGAAATAACTAGGAAGTGATGTTTGTTGATTTTGCTTTTAATAACACAAATTGTAAACTTCTATAATTTAATTGTTAATGATCATTAACAACTGGCTAGCAAAATTCTTGAGAATTCCGCAGTTGGCTTTCCTGAGCCAGTAGGAGCTGTCCCCACACAGCACCAGGCGGAAGCAGACGGTGGCCCTCACGGCACCCTCCAATCCCGAGTGACTCCAAGCCCGGGACCATGGTTCAGGGCCCACCGTTTCTGGCTTCAGCGTCAGCAGACTGTGCTGGGTCGCTGCTCTCTTCGCTTTCCACACCACACGCTGACCCCCGTGCCCTCCTCCACCCTGCCCCTCCGCCTGGATTGCCCTTACTCCCAGTGCCAGCCAGAGGAGCTGAGGGATGGGGGGAGGCTGCCTTGGCTCCCATGGGGCTCCGAGAGGCCTGACCTGCTTCAGCCTCTTTTCAGACTGTCCCAGTCAGCACAACAGGAGCTGCCTGAGAACCAGGCCTGCCTCTCCCTGACATGTGCCCTCCCAGAGGCGCACGTCAGCCTGAGGGAGCCTTGTACACAGCCAAGCAAACATCCCAAGGGCTCCGTGCACTAGCTATTGCTTTGATCTGGGTTGGCTGCTTTGGGGGCTCAGCAGCTCAGGCCCCTCTTCCCTGGGGTGGGGTGGAGGAAGCTTAGTGCTGCCCTCTGGGAACTCGGCTCTGAGGTGAGGTGCGGCTGGGGTGATAACCTGCTCTGCACCATCACTTGGGGGAATTAGGAGCAAACCGCCCCAGGGCAGAAGGGCAGGTAGTGAGAGGCAAGAGGTGTACGTGGAGAATGTTTATTGTATAAAATAAGAAGGGGCCGCCCCGCCTCGGGACGCAATGGACAGAACTCCCCCCCACCCTCCCCCTCCAGGGAAGCCCATCCTGGGGCTTCCCTGCACCTGCCCCTGCAGCCCTGAGGGAGACCCTGCTCCCTCCTGGCCTCCGGCGGGGGCCAGGGAAGGCTGGAGCCACACCCCAGAATGAGGCAGCAGAGAGGACAGGATCCTGCCGCCCAGCCTCATCCCCATGCTTCCCCCCTGCCCACCCTCACCGCTCCCCACAGCCGACTCAGGGACACCACACGTCTCAACACAACAGCAGACACGTCTAGGGCTGCTCCCCGCCAGCCCTCAGGCTCAGGTGTGCCAGGGCTCTAGAAGACCGTGCACTTCTTCCCTGGCTTCTTCACTGGCGGCGGGCAGAGCACTGCGCGGATTGCCTCGTCAAACACTGTCTTCAGGCCCCGCTGGGTCAGGGCTGAGCACTCCAAGTACTTCACAGAGCCTAGGCAGTGAGGAGGGGAGACAATGAGGGTGGGGTACAGCGAAGCCTCCCCACCCCTCCCCTGCAGGCCGCCTGCGCCTACCCACCAATCTCCCGGGCCATGGCCAGGCCCTGTGGGTAGGTGATGGGCGCCAGCTTCTTGTCCCGCAGCCGCTCAATGGTGTCCTTGTCGTCGCGGAGGTCCAGCTTGGTGCCCACCAGGAGGATGGGCGTGTGAGGGCAGTGGTGCCGCACCTCCGGATACCACTGCAGGGACAGACGCTCTGACTCCTAGGCCCGGAGTCTGCTACCCCAGCCCCACCTGAGCAAGTCATGGCCCTCCGGGACTTTCCTCACTGCTCCAGAGCTACACTTGGCTCTTCTTCCTTCAAGGGGTGACCAGGGGCGGATTTGGTGGGGAGATATTGAGAAAAAACACGCAGCCAGAGAACCTGGAGACCTCCCAGGGCCTCCCAGTCAAGGCCCATCCTCAGCAGACAGCCCCTCCGTTCTGAGAGCTGTGCCCACCACCACTACGCCACCCCATCAGCCCCCACGGTCATTTTCAGACCCCACCCCATGTTCCTACTCCAGGCAGAACCGTATCTCAATTGCCTCTAAAGGACAACTTGTCGGGGCAGGTTCTGGAGCAAGCCCTCTCCCCACAGGGGCCCCCAGCCTTGCCCTACCTTGGCACGAACGTTCTCGAAGGAGGCCGGGCTCACCAGGGAGAAGCAGATCAGAAAGACGTCCTTGGGAAGAAGGTGGGGCCTGGTGGAGTGGTCAAGGGCTCCCCAGGGCCCTGCTCCCTCCCTCATCACGACCTCAGGGACCCACCCAGCTCCCGGGGCTGGCCCAGTTGTCACCTACAGTTTGGGGGTAGGAGAGTGGCCGCAGCCGATCATAGTCCTCCTGCCCCGCCGTGTCCCACAGCCCCAGGTTGACCGGCTTCCCGTCCACCATCACGTTGGCCGAGTAGTTGTCAAAACTGCAGAGTAGTGAGGGCAGGGTCAGGGCTTCGGAGGGGTCCCAGAAACCCCCGGCCCTGCCGGCCTGTGTCTTGGGTTTCACAACTCTGCACGGAACTAGAACTCTAGCCAGCACCTCAGCCCCAACCGGGAAGCCCAGAGACAGGGCCACCTGAGCCGACATGGAAGCCCAGGGGAGATCGTGCCCATGAATCCCCCATGCCACACTCACACGGAGGGCCTGTGCTCTCCCAGGAAGCCCCCACACTCACACGGAGGGCCTGTGCTCTCCGGGGAAGCCCCCACACTCACACGGTGGGGATGTACTCTCCGGGGAAGGCGTTGGTCGTGT